AAATAGTGGAAGTCTTACACCTGAGTACCATCGCTCCTAGTGCAGACTATAACAGCATTTCCCTTCACCTGTTGAGCACCACATTGCTGTCAGAGCAGCAGTCTAAAGGCAGATTCAGGCCAGCATCTTCCCATGGAAATGCTTCCCTGATTTAGTGCTGAGTTTACTCCACAATTAAGCCTTGACTGATCAATTGAAAGACTCCACCTCCATCACTGTCAGTGGGGTTCACTCCCACATTCTATAACCCTCTATAAGCTTTGTTCATAGAAGGTTCCACTAGTCAGTGGGGCCCAGTGCAGTTTATACATTTGTGGGGTACCTCACTAGAGCAGAGATAGATCCTCAGAAGAGTTCTTCAACTACTGAAGATTTGTTATGGTTTTTTTTTGTTTGTTGGTTTGGTTTTTTGTTTTTCTTTGGGGAGATACACCCTGGCAGTGCCTCTCACAGCTAAGTTGAGCTTGCAGGGTAGTCCAGAGCAACAAAAATTTAATAGCACCAAAGGGCCTTAAATATAGCTTTTGTTGCCTGAGGACACTGGCTTGCCACAAGGTTCAATTTCTGCCTTAGTTTTCTCAACCTAGAGCTATTCTACTTAAGAAATGTGGTGTTTTCTTATGTTTCTACTCAGCATATGAAGATGACAACAGAGGTCAATCTTGTGAGACCCACAATAACAGAAAATACGATTTACAAAGAGACAAAACATGGGCAAGAAACAAAGAAAATCATCAGCATGGAGTAATGCCAGTTACCAGGAATGGTGGTGGATTTCCAGATAAAAACCTCATGCAGGCAGTAAAATTGTGAAAGCAATAACTGAGCCACCATATGGAATTTATAATGGAAGATGACAAAAATAATTGTTATAACATCTATGGGGAGAAAGATCATCAGGACATTGCTGTTGGAGCTGACCATGAAAATATTCGATAAGCCCAGAAAGACCGGTAGAAACAAAAGTGTTCTGTTTTTGCTTTTACCTGAATATTTGTATTTAACAGTAAAGAAAAAAAGATTATATTGCACAGCTCACATTATTGGCACCTATATGTAATTTTAAAAAGGATTAAAAACAAGATCATTTGTATATTTTGATGCAATAGCCGTATCCTCACAGACACAGCACTCATTGAAAGAGCAACTAGAGTGAGCAGTGAAAAGAACAGAATGGATTGTTACAGAACAATCTCCATTAAAAAAAAACCTCCAAACTAAGTGAACAATATGGAGAATGCAAATTCCATGTATTGTAGATACCCTTTAATCCACGTGCTACAGACTACAATTTGACAGAAAAATAAATAGCCAGACTATTAGCTACAGTAGCAGTAAGCATAAAACAATGTATCTTCATATAACACTGGTAGGCCAGGAAAAACAAAACAAAACAAAAAAAAAACACACCACCAACAGCTCTTGCTGTTTTTGAGACTGTCTGTAAAGACTTCTACTAAAGGGAAAGCAATCCATAGAATGAGTGAGCAGATGCAGGAATATTTATTACAGAAAGAGTTGGAAACTCAGCTTCCATATTTACTGTTATATTATTAAATCAGCAATCAATTCAAATCAAGCTAGATGGCAGAGGCAGATACATTTCATTGCCAGCCTCATTAATGCAGTAACAAGACCAGGTGCTAATGAAATGCTGTTTGAAAACATATAGGTCAAAACAAGTAATTGATAAGAAGCCCATAAAACAAGTGTCAATAATTGGTATAAGACTTGGTAGAAGATGACAAGAATTTATTTGAGAGAGATCATAATCCTATCAGGTCTCAACAGGAAAGGTTTTACAACTGAGAGAAGATATGCCAAACACAATTAGGGAAGCACAGCTCTTGCTAAACTCCCATTCTGAACATCGGTGATGCAGTGTGGGGTCTACAAAAGTTACAGTAATCTCTACACATCATACGTAGGACAGGAAGCAGAAGCAACATAACTTTTCTAAGGATACAAGAATATGGGACCAGGTTAGAACCATTCTCTGCTTTCCCCACATAACATCTGTGGGGCATGACTACCACGTAAGCACAAATCCATAATTCACTTAAGACTTAACTGCTGTTCAAATATCACTTAAATAACACTCAATTCACTTATGATACTGACTCACAAGTGTATTAAAAGCAGGCAAGATTGTCCACAAGTTGATAAAAAAAAGTTTTTCCCCAACAGCCTCAAAGGTTTGGAAGACTAGTAATACATTCACATTGCATAGAATACTTTCTTCTCAAGAATTTCTGCAGTTCCTTAGCAGATTAAACATTATTTAATCATTAAACAGGGTGTCTGCACCCTTCAGTGTTGATGGTTTTGCTTCTTAGTGCACCTCTGGCTAATGTGCCACTGGAAGACAGAAGTTGTCCTCTCCTGAGGACAGCAAACAGCCATGGTAGAACAGAGTAAGGTGTGGTGCAACACTTGTGCCCACGTTCTTTGGTCAAAATGAAATTCCTTTTGAAGTGATATGCTGTATACTTCTGGTGACAGGTTTTCATTAGCCTCATGTATGTAAGAAAAACTAACACGTATTCATGGTTTAAAACTAGTAATAATGATTCTGCCTTCTTACAGTTCGCTGAACTGTGTAAAGGTCACAGCTCTGTTGATGCCCTTTTTTTTTTTTTTTTTTGTTTTGTTTTGTTTTGTTTTTCACAGCTGACTACAAATAGAAAGACTCTTCACAGCCAAATGCTGAGATCAGGCTCTAAGGAGCTGCAACTTCAGATGCTGCCAAACAATATTTGATTCCTCTATTGTGAAATACCACGTTGGCTCTGGGGCATAGAGAGAAGCCAAGCTGAGTTTAGAAAATTCTACACTGAACTATTGTTTGGTATCAAATAAAATATATCTCTCCTGCTACTGCAAATCACAAGGCATCCAAGGACATCTAATACTATCTTCACTTTCTACTACTTCTGCAAAATACAGCAACAGTATCACATTGCTACATGTAACAACACGTATCCAGAATGTGTATTCCAGAAAGAATGGAAATCTCCTTGTCAAGAATATAAATTAAGAAGCAAAATATCATAAGTAAAAAGAGCATTAAGATACTTTTATCAGTTTTGTGCCCTCCTGTACTCCATACCAGTAGTTCCCACTAAAGTAATAATCATTGCATCTCCAACATACTTCCTTTCGCACTGTTCTGATATTAGAAGAGCCAGTAGACATTGTAAACTGAAGGTCTTGTTATCATAAAAGAAATACTACTGCAAATATAATTTTTATTTGCTTGAAAAAGTCTGATAAGCACCTCTGTCGCTGGCTTATAGATAAAGCTGTCTTCCACAAATAGAGAATCAGGCTAAATTGGCCATGGTATAACGAAGACAGGAGAACACTGATGCACTGAATAAATTCTTACCTGTATGAAATGGAATGCCTATTATTTTCATGAAAGGGGAAGCACATTGTTAGAATCATAAAAGCTATATGATTGGAGATAGATTCCCAGGAATGGCCAGCTGTGTTTTGTTTACGACATATAGATAGATATTTCTGGTGCTGGTACATTGAGTACCCTTCCATTTGCCTCTAGATTCATTCTGATGAGAAATACTCTTGCAATAAGAGCAAGATTTCCAATAAATATAGAATGGCTACTCTATATCCTGACTATCTACAAGTCTGTCCAAAGCCTGTTTTTTTGCATTTACTCCTGAGCAATCCAGCATTTTTATCAGGTCTGCACGCAATTTAAATGACCAAGTCTTTCCTCCTAACTTCCTGAAGATAATTTAAACATCTAAAGAAACTGCTACTCATTTCAGCTAGTGAAGTTTCTGGCATGAAGTGCAAGGTATGACATTACAATGAACTCACTGTCACAGGAATAGGGCAGCTCCTTTGACCTGTGCACATCAGAAGCAAGGCTTCCTCGATTAGTAGCATAAATTTCATGTTGCAAAAAATCTCATAACATGTAACACACATGCTTTTAAGTATCTTAGTTTCTCTCAGCTTCAACTTCAAAAAAGAGGACAGTTGTTTAAAACGAAAAAAATAATTTATTTCCAATCTCTGTCACTTGACACAGTTTGTCTGCTTACAGATACTGTGGGAAGCAATCATGAACTTCATAAAGGGATGTGGAAAGGCATCCAGAAAGCACAGTACTAGAGTAATCTTACTAGAGGAGCAGTCTACTTTTTTTAATAATGCAGTAAAATGACAAAGATAGCTTTTTACATTGCAAAAAGCAGAACTAGGAAAATTGAAATGACAAATGCATGCACAAATATTCAGATGCATACTGAATATTTGATCCTTTATTCACAACGTGCATTTATAAAGATCTTCCTTTAATATATTCAGTGAGGTGAAGCATCTAATCAGTACAGGAGCATTTTCTACTAGTGCCCAAAAACATATTCCCTGGAAAGATCCTGAGAACAGTGCAAAATATGGCAGTAATTCCCCACAATATTTTCACAGCCTCCAGGAATTTGTGGCTGAGTAGTTCCTGAATCAGAAGAGGCATCTCTACCTTTAATAGCCTTGGATCTTGCTTTTCTTTCATCTATGACTTTTTATATCTGAGCATTTTAACCAACACAACATCTCACGGCAAAGAACTTCACAGCATAACAACGCAATATGAGGTGAAAAATATCATATTTTGCCTATCTTGAAATCAGTATTTTGCACAGCTATTCTGAATAACTTTATCTGTATTGCCAGAAAATACCTTGAAGTTTTCTCATTCTCAATTCTAGATTCCCTTATTAATGCTGATCAGTACAGTCCCAGGATAAATCCCATGGAGATCCTCCTTCCTCTGTTTTTTTTGTTTGTTTGTTTGTTTGTTTGCTTTGTTATTGCTTTTTTTTTTTTTTTTTTTTTTTTTGTCATTTAACTAACCTTTACGCATGTCAACCCTTGGAAGCAGTGAAATTGCTTCCGATAAATTCTTTATAATACCAAGCAAAACATTCTTAGGAACATCAGTAATCTCATACAGGAAAAAGCTCACTCACCTGACTGATGATAAGGACATCTAGCTACAAAACGATCCATCTCAGGAAATAGCCTACATCCAGGAAAAGTTCTTTTGGAAGCCAGCCCTTAAATGAGCCTAGGGAGGGGTCAACCCCTTGCAGTCACGTGGAAAGTACAGGTGAATTGCTTGCATCTGCTCTTCCTGGGACAACCACTCATCTTCACCAGGTGTTCAATTACCAGTTCAGGCTGTGACTTAATAGTTCTCTTAAAATATGTGAAGTTTTAGTTTTTTTCTTTCATCCTCTGAGTTCTTAACTTTTTTAAAGGCTTTCAGTAACCTACAAACCAAATAGACTATATCAACTACAATTTCACTGTACACAAGCTTTCTATCTTTTCTAAAGAATCCATGTTGATTCTCAACCAATGTACAGCATTCAACCCTGTGTTTTCTGTATATTCTAAATTGTTTCTAAGGATTTTACACTAAATGTGGATCATCTCTTGAAACTTTCTAGAATCCTTAGGTGAACACAAGATACTGTTGTTCATAATTATCAATTTCTTCTGTAAGCACTTATAACAAAATCAGCTTTATGGAATCTATGTGTATCCTGGAAACAAAAAAAATTGTATTTGTGAGTCCTTATACAATCAAAAAGTTATGATCATTGTTGGGTAATTGGTTAATAGCTAGAGCAAAACCTAAGAGAAATAAATGGGATCTAGTAAGCTAGGTTTTTCCTATCTCTAATGATCATGTGCAGTCCTATAGGACACTGACTTCTTCAAGTTTTATTTACTGCACTCAAAAGTTACATTAATTTTTACATAGCATACATTTTTCCATACATTTACATACATAGTAACCTTTTCCTTGCCCAAACTTGAGATAAACTCCAAGCATCATGCTACTTAACCTGTGAGCCTTGAACTAATTCTTGCAGCAAAAATGTATTAAAGGCACCAGCAGTATCATCACTAATGACCTTCTAAATCTCCACCTCTACTAAATTAGGTGAGCAAACTGTAAGAAATAGAGTGAATGCATTTGTCTTTAATTATACTAACCTTGGTCCTATCCCTGAAGCCGTTCCAGAATCACTGACAATCTAGGCTCAACAAGGCTCAACAAGGCTCTTCTTAACTCTATTTTTTTTAACCAGAAACTGAAATGTAACCCAGTAAATAAAATGAAGAAAATGTTATTGAGACAACCTACTAACAACTAATCTTTCTGATCTCTGTTGGTCCTAAACAATCAAACAGTGCTGGTGAAACCTCTCTCTTTTAGGCCATAATGTCACCCTAAACCTAAGCCTAAATTTTTTTAAATCAAAGTCACCAATTTGTGCAGTAAATCTGAATATATGGCATTTGTTCCCGCTTATGGAATCTTTAATCCTACTTCTGCTAGTCTAGTGGAATGCAAGAATAAAAAGGCTTTCTACCTTCCTTTCTGAAAATCTGATTTTGAAAAATTCACTGTAAAATTAACGCATTCTATAGACAGAAGATTAATCTGTACTGGAATACTAATACAAAGCATATGCCTCTGCCTGTACCATTCTACTTCTATCTCAGAAGACGCCACAGAAAACTTATAGGTGTGGTTTTTCTAGTTCTCTCCCCTTATTCCGAATCTTCCTTAAATGGAAAAATGTGTCCAGGAATACTGAAAATAAAATATTTGCTTATGACTTCACCGGTCTTCTTTCAAACCCTTATAAATCCAGCACTAAATCAAACTTGTTACAGCTCTTCTTCCCAGATCTTATCTGTCACCAGTTCCTAAAGGAAAATTAAAGATATTCATCCCCAGTTATATCAGTATTATTATTCCTGCCAGTCAGAAGGATTTGACACTAAAAGAATTTATCGAGTCTTTTTTTCCAAATTCCAAATCTAACCACTAGGTTACCTATCCCCAACAGCTCCAGCAGAAAACTATTTATACATTCTCTTTTCCATTCTCAATGGCCAGGCAAGTATCTCACTTTAAGATGACATTTTCAAACCTTATTTGCAAGTTCTAATCCAAACCTACTCTTTGGAACTTTCTGAATAAAGTTCAAGAAATAACAAACTGCATCGGCCACTATTTTTTCTTTTTTCCAACAGATTAAATATAAGTTAAAGAAGATTATTAAGGCACTAAGTCAAGAAAATCTGTTTTTATAAGTATGTTGGACTGTGTTTATGATGAATATTTTAAACACTAAAATAGTGTTTAACACTAAAGAAATCACAAATAAAGGTAAGGTTTGCCCTATGAAACACACTGTCTAGAAGTCAGTCTTGGATACAAAAGGATGCTGTGGGAGGCTTAAGGGAGGACACTGGCAACATGATGTCATTGCAGGATATTTGACTGATACTGTTCAGTGTTAACGTTCCTTACAAAGGCATGGTTTTTATGAGATAGCAGAATCCTTTATATCAAATTCAGAAGTTTGAACTTAGTGGGCAATCCATAGATGGAAATGAGATATCGATGTGAGAACCTTCACGTTTATCTGGAACATTATAAAGTGCCAGATATCTGTGCTTGTATTTATTAAATAGAAAAAGTATGTATAGCAACAAATCTGTGGTTCCGGCACATGAACCACATTCATCTACGTTGTTACATCATTCTGTCTTACACATTCCACAGTGATGACAGAAACAACTGCGAAAGTGGCTGTAAAATATTGGTCAGTCTTTTACTTCAACTGTATCTCCATTGCTAACATTTGCCAACTCAGAAACATCTATTTTAAAAAGCATTTTAAACAGCAGAAAAATTGCACTACACATTATCAGTTGACAAAACTGAAAGCAGAATGTTGGAAATTTCTGGTTGGATGGCTACCATGTTGCCGTCTAACAATTACTCCAAGCTACCTCAGATGAAAAGTTATGTTGAAAAAGTGGATGAATTTCAGATAAACACATATTTAACTTATGTTTTCTTTGCAACAGCTTCTATCTCTGCATGGGTGTTGCATCACTTACACAATGACTTACGGTACTATAAGAATATAAAGTTCATTCAATTGGAAAGACAAAAACTTATCCAAACCACTGGCATTGGAATATTAACTAGATCTTGCAAGAATTTCTTCCATGTTCTAGGGAAAGCAATTTATCACTGAATTCATCCCATAGGTATGTGAGTACAACTTTACATTTCAAAAGTGAGCTCTGTGACTTTCTTTCACAGGATAAAGTATCTGTTAAAGCCACCTAAATTGTTGCTAAGAGAAATGACACGTTTGGCAAGGGTATGTAAGTGATAGCTGGATATTCTTGAAAATAAAAAAGATTTGGTGTCAAGGTTTTTTGTTGCTTTTTTTTTTTTTCATTTTCTGCAGAATCTTTAGTAATAGATACCAATAAAATACAAATAACTATATAGCACAAACTCAGTATAGACACAACAAAGGGCTCCTACATCTTCTTTAAAATCTTCCTATGAAGCTCAATCACCTGAGATAGAAATATACATTTAAAACTAAATTTTTAAAACCTTTACATAAATGTAAAATTAATCTTTTTTATTTCACAGCTGTGTTTAAATACAGCTTTCCTCCTGCAATAGGGAACACTGATTCAGATTCTCAGCTCTTTACAGCTCACTGCACTAATGTCCCTTCTCTGTTAGTCATACAGATTGCTCACAATATATTCTGCAGTAAATGAGCTGGGATTTAGGTTTATCAGGCTCAGCTGGTGGGAACATGACTAGAAACCAATTCCAGAGATTACAGAGTCCTATAAAAACTTTATAAAAAATGAGGAATCTGTTTTTTTATGCAGTTAAAAGGGAAGTGCGATGTTACTGAACTACTTTGTGTGATGTTAAACTGTATTATAGAAATATGCAGACATTGAATTAGTAGAAATGAAACTGTTACTTCAAAACTCTCATAACAGTATCATTCTAAACTATTTCTTACCTAGAAACACATGGCCATTACCATCAGCTTTCCTTGGTTGCTACACGGTTTATGACTGTTGGACTAGTCTGCAGTCATGTACTGTACTCTGAAGATCAAGAGCAGTCCTTTAATCAGGTTTTTAACATTGACATTTCAGACAGAACTTTGCATTCTTTAAGCATTACATGTATTTTTAAAAGAATAAATTATTTAATAAATAAGGAAAAAAAAGTTTTGATGTTGTTCTGTAAACATTACTTTCAGAACAGAACAGCTACAAAATTTTTAATAGAAAGAGTTGAGTATTACTTGGTATTTTCATGCTTTCAGATGCCAAAGTTCCTTAAGAACCTGTGCATTAGTTGTAGACATGACCTCAGCTAACCCAAAGAAAGCCACAGGCACGTCTCCTTTCCCTATTGGCAGCTACTTTAATTGGCAGGTTCACAATGAGCACTTTTGTTTGCATCCTAAACATGCAGAGCACAATTAAAAGACTTGATACTTTCATCCTGACAGTGCAGCAATTAATAAAATTAATATGTTGGGGTTTTTTTTAATAGGCCAAGTCATTACACATTAAATAGCATCAAACACTTAAGGAACTTGTTTTACTAGGACTCAAAAGGTTGCCCACTTCAAATTATATGGATTTAGTTTGGTTTAAAAATAGACATTTTGTTTATTTTCCATTCCATTGCTCTACTATTTGGTTCTTTTTTCTTGCAAACATTGTCTCTGAGTATTTTACTACCCCCTACTGTATGGAGAGAAAATTGTGCAATACTTTGCTATAAACTATATGCTGCTAGCACCCCTTGAGAGCTCCCAGTCAGTTGGAACAATGAGAAGATGGATTCAAAGTTGTTGGAGTTATGGGATCCAGTTTGAGTTGTCACATGAAGTTCCTAGAGACTTTGGTGTGAATAACAGAGAACAAAGTTTTCTTGACAGTTCTAAGGTAGTAGATCATTACTGTAGCAGCAAAGTTATTGGGTTTTTAGTGCATATCAGCATGATTCCAAAGCAACTAAAAGTGCTTTGTGAAGCAATGAGTCAGATTCTGGTTCTGCAGTAACCACACACAGGGATTTATGTTTTCAGGAACTATCTGTCCAAGAGAAGCATACTGCTATATAGGCCTCTGGCAGTAAGTGGCTGGGGAAGCCACTGAATCAGATTGGACACTTCAAATGGCATATGAGCAACCGTGGGTGTACTACTGTGTACCAGCACAACCCACATGATATTTATTCACTTGGGCCACTATGTGATGTGATGAAACTCCTCATTCTGCTGAACCTCACTGCCTCTCTTGGTAAAGAGCATAAGTTTAAATTGCTTACACACTTGGACAAGATGAAGCACATTCCATATGCAGTTTGTACGTCAGTAAAAAGGCACAATCAAGCATT